ACATCAACCCATTAATAGTAGGTGATTTCAGTATACACTTTCTCCAATAGACAAGTCATCTGTACAAAAATAGAGAAACATCAGAATTAATTGGTACCCTATGTCATTTGGACTTAAGAGATATCTACAGAATATTCCACAGAAACACCATAGAATACACATTCTACTCAGCAGCATACAAAAGCCTTTCTAAAATAGACCACAGCCTGAGACACCAAACAAACCTTTATAAACTCAGAAAGATTGAAATAACTCCTTGTATCCTAGCCTGACCACAAATGCAATAAAACTTAAAATTGACCTCAAACAAATCTCTACAATACAAATTCATGGAGATTAAACAACTCATTATTGAATGATGAGTGGGTCAAAGAAGAAACCAAGAAACAAATAAAAAAAATCCTGGAACTAAATGAAAATGAAAATGCAACACACCAAAACCTCTGGGACACATTGAAAGCAGCCCTACAAGGGAAAATAATAGCTCTAAACTTAAGTGTCTACTGTTAAAAAAAAAAAAAAAATCAGGAAGAGCACAAATAAATGACTTCATGGTGCAACTCAAAATTTGGAAAACCAAGAATAAACCAACTACAAACTCAGTCAACAGCAAGAAATAATAAAAATCAGAGCAGAAATCAGTGAAATAGAAACAAAGAAAATGATACAAAGATTCACTGAGTCTACGAGCTGGTTCTTTGATAAAAATAAACAAGACTGACAGACCCTTGACCCAACTAATCAAAAGATAGAAATAGAGAACACAAATGAACAGAAGCAGAAATGAAACAGAAAGGAATTCAGACTATCACTGGGGAATGTTTTAAAACCTGTCTTTCATCAAGTTGAAAAACTTAAATGGATGAATTTCTGGATTCAGCCAAACCACCAAAATTCAACCAAGAAGAAGTCAACAACCCAAACAGCCCTGTAACAAATGAGGAAACTGATGGTAATAAAGAGCCTTCCAGCAGCATTTGCTGGAGATGCTTTCTTTCCTCCAGCTGATGGTTTTGGCTTCTTTGTCAAACATTAAGTGGCTGAAGTTACAAGTACTAATGTTTGGGTCTTTGGTTTTGTTCCATTGGTCCACATGTCTGTTTTTGGACCTGCAGCACCACATTGTTTTTATTACTCTGTAATGTATCTTAAGATCTAGAATTGCGATCCCTCTAGCATTGTTTTTTTTTTTTTTTTTTTTTCTGGGATTGTTTTGGCTATCTGAGGTCTTTTGTGGTTCCATGTGAATTTTAGGATTTTTTTTTCTATTTCTGTAAAGAATGAGGTAGGGATTTTGATTGGGACTGCACTAAATCTGTAAACAGCTTTTGGTAAAATGGTCACTTTCACAATATCAATTCTACCAGTCCATGAGCATGAGATGTCTTTCCACAATCTAGTGTCTTTATCTTCTTCTTCAGAATTTAAAGTTTTCACTGTAGAGGTCCTCCACTTCCCTGGTTAGGTTTGTTCCTATGTATCATATTCTCTTTGAGGATATTGTGAATGGGAGTGTGTCCATGATCACTTCTCTGTGTGTTTATTTTTATTCTCTATAGAGAAGCTATTGATTTGTACAAGTTGATTCTGTATCCTACCAGGTTGCTGCATTTGTTCATCACTTCTAGAGGTTTTTTTGGGATCTATAATGTATAACTCATGTCATTTGCAAATAGGGATAGTTGGACTTCTTTTCCTATTTGTATCCTTTTAATTTCCTTGTCTTGCTGCTCCAGCTAGTGCTTTGAGCACAGTGTTGAAAAGGAGTGGGGACAGTGGGGGGTCGGGGGGACTGCCTCCTTCCTGACTTCAGTAGAATTGCTTCAAGCTCTTCTCCATTTAGGATGATGTGGGCTGTGGGTTTCTCATATATGTCTTTCATTATGTAGAGATATGTTCCCTCTAGCCCTGCATTCTCTAGGACTTTTATCATGAAGGCATGTTGGATTTTTGTCAAAGGTTTTTTTTCTGACTCTATTGAGATAATTATATGATTTGTGTCTTTAAATGCATTTACATGGTTTATTACATATTGTTGGTTGTTTTTTAGCTCTTTTACTCTTTGGTCTTTGCTTTTTTTTTGGGGGGTCACCACCCAGCTCCTAAATAATTCGCACGGAGGCTTATTCTTTTGTATGAATACCTGGCCTTAGCTTGGCTTGTTTCTAGCCAGCTTTCCTTAACTTAAATTATCCCATCTACCTTTTGCCTCTGGGCTCTTACCCTTTCTCTACTTCTGAATACCTTTCTTTACTTTTTACTCTGTGGCTTGCTGTGTAGCTGGGTGGCTGGCCCCTGGAGTCCTCCTCTCCTTCTCCTTTTTCTCCCCAATCTGCTTTTCCCAGATTTCTCCTCCTATTTATTATCTCTGCCTGCCAGCCCCGCCTATCCTTTCTCTTGCCTTGCTATTGGCTGTTCAGCACTTTATTAGACCAATCAGGTGTTTTAGACAGGCAAAGTAACTCAGCTTCACAGAGTTAAACAAATGCAACATAAAAGAATGCAACACATCTTTGCATCATTAAACAAATGTTCCATGACATAAACAAATGTAACACATCTTGAATTAATAATCCAGAATAATTACATATTGTTTTGTTGTCTTTTTTTTTTTTTTTTTTTACTTACATATGTTGAGCCATTAGTACATTTCAGAGGTAAAGCCAACTTGGTCATGATGGACAATCTTTTTGATGTACATCTGTATTCTGGTTGCAGATGTTTTATTGTGCAATTTTGAATCTATGTTCAACAGGGATATTGGCCTGTAGTTTTCTTTTTGTTGTGTCTTTTTCTGGTTTGGGTATTACAGAGATATTGGCTTCCTAGAAGGAGTTTTGAGTGCAGAAAAGTGAAATTCGACCCATATCTATCAACTTGCACAACAAATAACTCCAAATGGATAAAAGGTCTAAACGTGAAACCTGGAACACTGAAACTGCTGGAAGAACACATAGGTGGTTCCCTCATGATTTAGGTGTAGGTAAGGGCTTTCTGAATAGGACTCTGTCTGCCTAAGCATGAACTCCACAATTGACCCTTGGGACTTCATAAAACTAAAAGGCATCTGCGCAACTGAAGAAGCAATCAGCCAGGTGAAGAGGAAGTCCACAGAATGGAAGAGGATCCTTGCCAGCTCTACATCTGACAGAGGATTCATATCCATACTATGTAAAGAACTCAAAAGGCAAAGAACCAAAAATCAAATGACCCATTCAAAAAAAATGGACCTGGGATCTGAACAAAGAATTCTCTGTGGTGATATTGTGTTCCCCAATATATTGTGCACCCTAATAAACTTATCTGGGGTCAGAGAACAGAAAAGTCACTAGATATAGAGGCCAGAAAATGGTGGCACACACACACACCTTTAATCCTAGCATTCAGGAGGCAGGGATCTGTCTGGATCTCTGTGAGTTCAAAGCCACACTGGAAACAGCCAGACATGGTGACACACACCTTTAATCCCAGGAAGTGATGGCAGGAAGCAGAAAGGTATATAAGACGTGAGGACCAGGAACTAGAGCCTAGTTAAGCTTTTAGGCTTTTAGCAGCAGTTCAGCTGAGATCCATTCCAAATGAGGACTCAGAGGCTTCCAGTTTTAGGAAACAGGATCGGCTGAGAAATTGGCGAGTTGAGGTTAGCTGTGGCCTGTTCTGTTTCTCTGACATTTCAGCGTTCACCCCAATACCTCGCTCTGGGTTTGTTTTTATTAATAAGACCTTTTAAGATTTGTACTGCAGTTCTCAAAAGAAAAAAGTCTAAGAAATATCTTATAAAAATATTTATCATCCTTAGCAATCAGGGAAATGCATATCAAAGCATCTTTGAGATTTTATCTTACCCCAGTCAGAATGGCAAAGAGCAACAAACAACTGACAGCAAATGATGGAGGCAGTGTGAGGAACTGTGAGGAACGCCCTCATTCATTGTTTGTGGGATTGCAAACTGGTACAGCCCCTACAGACGTCAGTGTGGACAATTCTCAAAAAGCTAAAAATACATATACCATATGACCCAGCTCTACCACTCCTTGACACATGCCCAAAGCACTTGACATCCTACCCCACAGGCACTTGCTCAGCCACGTTCATTGCTGCTCTAGTCACACTAGCTAGGAAATGGAAACAACCTAAAACAAATTTGCAAATTTGTTTTGTTATCCAACAAATGAATAATAAAAAAATTGATACATGTACTACACTATGGGAAAACATTCAGCCATAAAGAAAAATGAAATTTGTAGGTAAATGGACAGACCTAGAAAACATCATACTGAGCCGGGATAGCCAGACCCAGAAAGACAAATGTCTCGTGCTCTTTCTCATCAGAGACTCCTAGCTCCAAATCTTCAGATAGAGTGTTCTTTATAATGTAGTTCTCACCCCTCATCAAGGAAACTTATCTTTGCAACAGATGGAGATCATTAAAGAAAACCACAGCCAATCGAAATGCAGAGCTGTGAGTCCGGTCCCAATGGATACGTCTACAAAACAACTCCCATACCGAATGCACAGGGAACATTGTGGAAGAGAGGACGGGAAGACTGTAAGAGCCAAAGGATGAGCCAGTTTGCTGAGACTGTCTCCTAAGAATGTCAGAAGTTGCACTCATAATGTCTCATCAACATGATTGGCTTAACATGAGGTGAACAAGGTCAACAACAGGCATGCCAATGTGGATGAGGGGAAGACCAGGAGACCTCACCCCTACACAAAGAACTACAGGCATGCTCAGAGTGGGAGCAATAGTCTTCTGAGAGGGGCACACCAGTTGGTTATCTGATAGCAAACGGTCAACCCTGAAATCATGCACACAAGTAACATTCTACAGACTGAGCAGCTTATATTTAGGAATATATAATATATATATATATATATATATATATATATATATATATACAGATATGCATGTAACAACAATTATTGAAAAATAGGCCATAAATTTGAAAGAGAGCAAGGAAGGGTATATGGGAAGGTTTGAAAGAAGGAGAAAAGGGGGGAGATGATGTGATTATATTTTAATCTCAAAATTTAAAAAAAAAATTTAATTTTTTAAAAAGAAAGACACTACCATATCTCTCTTCTGTCAGATTAGTGAGACAGTGGTCCCCCAAGCCACTGGAACTGAGACAGTGTTGAGTTTGGGTGGATGGACTGCTTAGTTACACATACCTATTGTTCTCTGTTTAAACCTAAAACTTATGTTATGTCAGTACCCCAAAGACTGGACTTGGGGAACACAGGACCCCTTTTATAAACTTTGTTTCTCAGATTTTTCCCTCCTGGGAACCACAGAGCTGGGGCAGGATGAGGCCCAGGCTCCAGAGGATTTTTGCAGCCTCCTCTCCCTGCTTCAGATTCTTGCAGTCTGGCCTGGCATGCCTCCTAGCTGGGAGTATGGCTAAGGGAGGCTGAGCACAGCCACGGGAGTTAGCATCAGTGTTTCTTTTTAAATTTGACCTCAACCATGTTTGTATGAAAACCATGATTTCCGGCATCATTTGAAAAACTGAAAGATGGAACCATTCCCACTGTTCCACAAAGCCATGACCATCCAAGCCGGGTGACAGCTGTCCTATGAAGAAACCTGGCACCTGCTGTCCTTACCCAGCAAGTTCCCCTCTATAGGTTACTCATCTCGCCCTTGAATTTGAGACTCTGATCTAGTGCACTAGACCAGATAGGAAATGCCTTTGGGGAGCATGTCCAGGGACAGGCCTTGTCATTTTTGATGGCCCTTCTAGGTTTCACGTGTCTTCTGGACAAGTCTAGGAGCTCCTGGGCCCTTGGTTTCCTCCCATCTGTGGAATGAGGGCAAGTCCTGGCATTCTCTAAGGGCATGTGCAGCTGACTTTGTGAGCTCCCAGACCTGTCCTGTGACCTTGGCTCTGCAGGAGTCTGGACAGCTCAGCCTCTGCCTGCAGTGTCTGCAGAGAAAGGAAGCAAGCAGAGGGAAGGCCCAGGGATCCTTTATGTGGAAGCTTCCAAAGATGCTTCCTCTCTTCACTGACCTGCCCCCTCTCCTCAGACTGAGGAAGGCGTGAGACTGGAGCCTGGCCAGCCGAGACCAGGAGCCCATGTTGGTCTGATGCTAAATCAAAGCCTTAACAGACAGCCTACTGATGCACTGTCTTGAGAATGCTGTTTCCTTGAGGACCAGTCAGTGCTGGAGGTGGGGACGCTCATTCTTTCCATTCTGTTCTCGCTCCCATAACTTCCACGTCAGCCCTCACTGCAGCCCCGGGTCCCAGTCCAGACTTGGACTTCAGTTCTCTGTGGTAGCATTGCTGGACTTGACGTTCCGTGTCTGTGTGAGTCTCCTAACTCAGTCGCCTCTCTCGACTCCACCCGCCCTCAGTTCTGCTCATGTCATTAGAGGTTCCTGGCCCATAAAGAGTCCAAGAACTTCTCCTTGGATGAATGAATGAACCTGGGACGGTCTGACTGTTCCCTCCCAAACGCACATGGAGACTGACCTGCCTCTGTAATAGCTTTAGCAGGCCAGGCATTTGAGAGGTGGTTAGGTCCAAGAGCTCTGTTCTCAAGAGCAGTCAGTGCTGTCACTGGGTCACTGGGTCACTGGGTCACTGGGTCAGGTGTCATGAGTGGGTCTGTTATACATTCAGCCACCACTTGCCTCTCTCTGATTCACACCCACGTACCTTTCTGCCACAATGCTGTGCAGCATGAGGGCCATACCTGGTGCTGCTCCTCCATCTTACACTTCCCAGACCATAAAGCTAAATGAACTCCTAAGGCTCATCATTTTGCTGGCTTGGGGTATTCAGTTATAACCATAGCAAACAGACCAAGACAGCTTTCCAAAGCAGCCAGGCATTCACACACCTTCAGCCTCTGGATCCCACTCGGGTCACTTTCTGTCCCAGGGGCCCCCCGCCTTGAGTGCCAGAATGTTTGCTCCATACTGCCACCTTCAGGCACTGGCAGTCCTTCCTGTCGTGAGGTCAGCATTCCTCACGATCTAGTTCATGGGGTCTTCTCTGATGCGGACTTCCCGTAGTATGCTTTGCATGTTGTCACACTTTCTGTTGCTACACACTTTCTAAGCTATATGTGGTTGTTATGGCCACCCCATCTGTGTTTGCCCTAACCACCTCCATTGCTGCAGTGACACACCCCTCCTCAACCTGTGGTTATGATGACCATTCCACCTACTATTGCCATGACCACCCTCCCTGTGGTTGCCATGACCACACCCCAGTGACTACAGTGACCATCCACTCTGTATTTTTGATGACCCCCTCACTTTGGTTGCCATTGCCACCCTCCCTGTGGTTGGAATGACCATTCCTCCATGACTGGGATGCCCACACCCCCTGTGATTGCCATGACCACTCCTCCATGACTGGGATGCCCACCCCCACCCCACCCTCATGGCTTCCATGACCATCCCACCTGTAGTTGCAATGTTCACTCCATTTGTGGTTGCAATGACCACACCCCTGTGATTGTGATGCCCACCCCACTTGTGGTTACACAACCACAACCCCTGTGGTTGCCATGACCACCCAAACTGTAGTTGCAATGATCACCCCACAGTGGTTGCTTTCTGCATCACACAGAAGTCTTCAATTGCAAGTAGAACACCCAATTCCAGTTGTCACAAAGCACCAACTCTGCCACCAGCTTCTCTGTCAGCAAGACATTGGCTCTCCCTCCAAACTGAATGGGGGTTCATCCTCAGGGAAATTTTACTCCTTCATGAAGGTAGATGACTGCCAGCTTCACATTCATAAGCCCACCTGAACAAAGAAGAGCCCTTCCCAACCCCAAGTGAAAGTTCTCAATTCATACCTACTGGCCTTCTGTCCCAAGCACTTGAGCTATGGTTTAGAGCAATTCTTACTTGGCTTAGAGAAATCTGGCCTCAGTGAGAGCCAAATCTCCCCCCAGATGAGAACAGTGTTTAAACCAACTCAGAATACAACCAGAGTGCCGTAGAGGCCTTGGAAAGAGACCACAAGATCCCTAGGCTTTGTGTTTTCCCCCAAAGGAACCCAGAGCTCACTGAGGGCAGGGCTGGCTCCACTTGCTCTCTGGTCCCCTTCCTTTCCTGTGCCAGGCACGCAGCTCACTCCCAGGAACTTTCCTCTATTTGAATTCCTCTCTTCTTTCCCATCCAGATGACACCTGTCACCCACTGTTTATAAGAACATCTCTGGTACCCCCAGCTTCCACCCATCCTGAGACAGCCTCCAGGTGCTACCTGGGTGTGGGCAGACCTCCAGGAAGAGGGCACGGCTAGCCTCTCCTGACACAGGTTTGGTAAAGAGTTATCTTGGGGGAAGATGCCTGAGATTGGCCTGGGGCATCCACACTCACTTCTTGGCCTTTGGACCCCTTCATCACAGCCTCCCATGGGGCTCTGGCAGCATGGGAGCAGGCTATGTGCCTGCCTACCCCTGCCCACTCCATCACAATGACATTGGAGTGACAGCTGCCCCAAGGAAAACCAGACTTCACCCAGTGGGAGTGGAATAGGAGTCTGATTCTGCTTCACTGTTACTGTTTGGTTGGTTGGTTTTGGGTTTTTTGTTGTAAATTTTAACAGGAAAAATGTAAGTCTTGGAGACTGTCCTATGAGGAAGGTGTGCAGGAAGAGGACAGTGAGAAGCAGACAGCCAGAATCAAAGGACAGAAGGCAGGCAAGGGACAGACTGAGAGGGTCACAGGGCCCCCTCCTTGGCCCTGTTGATTTCTGGCTGCAACCCAGAGACTCAGTCCTGAGGCATCCTCAGGACCTGTCTAGTGCTGGTTCTTGGCATGGCTTCCCGGCCCAATCCACTTAGCATCATTATTTGCGGTTGGAGAAGTTCCTCTTCCTAACCCACCAGGAGCAGCCAGCCTTCCCATGCAGTCTCACTTAAACCAGTGAGAGTCAGCCTCTGAGCTGGATGCTCAGGATGCTTTGATCGGCACATGTCTTGAAACAGTGACCCAGCCCAGCCCGCTCACGGACTCTCCTAACTTGCTCCTTGTCTCACTTGGATAATCCAGTCACTCATTTCTTCCTAGATGTCTTACTAACTTACTGTTATTTCAAATTATGATTGTCAGGCATTAGCTATGGTCCAGACAGGCCCAATGCTTGACATGGTAAAGATGTGAAGAGGAACCAGGTGGAGTTTGCATTTCGAAAATGGGAAATAATAAATATTAAGCAAAGGCTGGACGGTGTTGCAAATCTTGGGGAAGAGCGTGTGTGGGATGGAGAGCACGTTGGCTAAAAGGCTGTCATCAGAGGGACGTCTCAGCCTTTGGAGAAGCAGCTGCCTGTGGATTAACTTTAAGCATTTGAAGCACACCCTCAGCCCAGGAATGCTCCCCCAGCCACATTCCCAGCCCTGATCCAGGTCCCTAGACACCCCCACCTCTCTTCCCTCTGGGCTATCCAACTGGATTTCAGTGCTGCTCCTGACAGGCATCCCCTGTCTGTTCTGCTTCGCCTCCGGGGTAATGTCCTTGGAGGAAGCAAGCATACTTCTGCTTCTAAGGTGATCTGCTTGCACAAATATTCAGAGGAAAAGTGAACCATCTGTCTTCAGGGCTGAGTGAGGAAGGAAGAGATTCAAACCTTTGACTGAATGGGAAGACATTTTTATCACAGCTGACTGTTGATGGAGGAAGAGAGCGAGAAACAGGAAGCATTTCCTCCCTTTTTGGAGACAGTGATTTCTGCGGCTTTTACCACATGACACAGTGTGAGAAGAATCTTCTATTTTCTTGGGATTTTTTTTGTTATTGTTTTGATATGGACTGCTTTTTTGATGTAGGCTAATCAGATACAGGGTCTGATATTGGCTGAGTAATGGCCTTGATCTCACTATGTAGGGAAGATGGGCCTTGAATGTCTAACCCTCCTATTTCCACTTCCTGAGTGCTAGAATTATAAGCATGGATATAAGCATGCGTAGAGTAAGTGCATAGATCATAAGCATGTCATGCCTAGCCCAGGAGCTTTCTAAACATAGCTTAGCCCCAACAACTTCAGGAACAACCAGAAGAACTTTTATTCACGTCCTTGTTTTGTTGTTTTGTTTTGTGGGGTCATACCGTTTCTTGAGGGGCACTTGGCAAACCTAGGGCTTCTATTTTAATTGTGACCAGACACTAAAATACTGAAATATCCGTGAAAGGAAACTTTTTCAAACTTTTCTTCAGCTTAGGAGCTATTGGCAGCTGACAGCCGCCGGAGGAGGAAGAAGCATTCTTCTTTGGGGCTGTGGCCCCTGGCAGATTGCCCAAGCTCTGGTGAATGGCTGCACCCCTGCACATATGACAGTACCGGTTGGACTTAGTGGGTTATTTAAAATAAGAAGAAGGGAGAGAAGGAAGAAATGGAGGAGGAAGAGGAGGGACAGGAGGAGGTCATGAAGTTGGGAGGGAGAAGTGTTGAAGAGAAATCAAAGAAGTTAGAAGGGGAAATGGAGAGTGGATATGGTCATATTTTGTTGTACACAGGTATGAAATTCCCAAAGAACAATTTTTTTTTCATTTTTCTCTTTGCCTCAAAAACAAAACAAAACAGAACAAAAGATACTTTGCTTCAGTTTAAATTTTAAAGGACGTTTACACCTATGGGTTGTTCAAGCAGATTTCATTTCATGATAGCAAAAGGGTTATCACAGCAGGATGCTAAGGATGCTGCCAGCATCCAGGCAGAGAGAAAGCAGACCCTCCTTCCTGGAGGCCACTATGAGTCTATAGGAAATGGCTCTGAGGAAGCATGATACTGAAGGGGCAGCTATGCTGAAAACTAGAAATTCAGGCAACAGCACTGAGTCTCTGAGCTGCCCGTGCCCCTCCCAGCCCAGTCCCACACTGAGCAGGCGGTGAGGACCCCAGCTTCTGATGTCCTGAAGCTTTGGGCAGCACCCACTCTTGGCCGACTTGCTGGACTTAATTGAAATGCTGGTAAGCCGAGAGCTCTGCTGGCCTGGTATTTTGGACATCGCTTGCTGGCCTCAGCTAGACACATGCACAGCCAAACCAAGACAGGCTCCAGTTAGCCACACTCTGCTGCCAACCCTGAGCTTACATGTCACCACAAAGATAAAAAGGAGCCCAACAGAAAGAGACAGAGCATTGAAAAGCCTGGGCCCTGGGTGCTCTCCTGTAGTAGACCACTTTGGAAATGGCCCCCGTGGTGCCTGCCTTCTTGTATCAGCACCTGTGTGGTTCCCTCTGTCCAGAAGCGGCCGACAGAGTGACTCGCTTCTCATAAACAGAATACGGCATGAATGATGGACGTCACTTCCAAGGCGAGGACCCAAGCTGCTGGCTTCTGCTTGCTTAGCTCTCCCTTTCTCTCTCATTCTTCTCTCTTGCTTCTGGGATAGAATCCAGTTGCGTGTAGAGAGGCACATCTCTTAGGAACCAAGGATGGCCTCCTGCCAAATCAAGCAAAGAGCTGATGCTTTCTGTTCCCGGGGTCCACAAGGAACACACTCCTGCCACTCAGCACGTGAGGCATTTGGAAGCAGATCTCCCCATAAGTCAAGCCAATACCCAGACTATGGCCTTCCTCAGAGGACCCAGTGAAGACCTCCAGACTCCTGACTCACAAAAGCTGTGAGATCATCAGTGAGTGGTTTAGGTCATTAAGCTAGGGGAAAACCTGTCATTGAGGCAGCTTCCTCCCCACAGGTAGACCCTCAGTGGAGGGACAGCGGCTTTGGCCTCAAGTGTGTGGTCATGTTCTGCCAGTCAGCCATGCAGAAACAGAGACAGTGAGGACTACCGTGCCTCCATGTGAGACTTGAGAATATAAAATGTCCAATCAGAAACTTTAGCAGGTTCACTTTAAGACAGAGAATTCATGGCCTCTCTCCAGACAGGACTGCATGATGCCCAGAGCCCAGGTAATTTCTTCAGCAAAGAAACAAATGGGTAAACAGCCACAGTGGACATGGGCAGGAACTGGACTCCATCAAGACCTAAGCTGAAGAAGTTCCGGCACTTACGGTGGGTAGTACAGGCTTGCCGTGTGTATACATTCGCTGGGGGTTGTGAGGCATACCTGTAACCCCTGCACTTGGGGGGCCGAGAGAGAAGGATCCCAAAGTTGAGGCCAGCTTGGCCTACAGTGATACCCTCTCTAAATAAATTAATAAATAAATATTTATGGTATGCAAAAAATCATAAACATGGGACACTATTCAGGGGGATATTGCAAGAGGAAATCATCCTCAAATGTCCTCTAATATGTTTAGCAAGGACTGCATTCAAAGAATTAGAGGAAATTATGTTTTAAATTTTAAATAAAATCATATCAATAGTTAAGCAGTAGATAACAATTAAAATAAGGAGATAGAAGTTGTCTCAGTCAGGGTTTCTGTTGCTGTGAAGAGACACCATAATCACAACAACTCCTATAGAGGGAAACTTTTAATTAGGTCTGGATTACAGTCTCAGAAGTTCAGTCCGTTATCATCATGCCATAAAGCATGGTAGCCTGCAGGCAGACATGGTGCTGGAGAAGGAGCTGAGAGCTCTACATCTGGATTTACCAGAAGCAGGAAGAGGCTGCCACATTAGGCATAGCCTGAGCTTATAAGATCTCAAAACCCACCTCCACAGTGACACACTTCCTCCAACAAGGCCACACCTCCTAATAGCACCATTCCCTAAGGGCCAAGCATTCAAGCACATGAGTCTATGGGGGCCATTCCTATTCAAACCACCATAGAAGTTACAAAAATAAATGGAAATTCAGGAACTGAAAGATACTGTTTGTTACTAGAAAAACTATGAAGCAGATTCTATATGACGGAAGGAAGCACCTGTGAGCTAAAGACAGAGTGGTTAAAAACTATCTTTTTTAAAGGGCAGAGATTAAAAACACATTCAAGAAAAATCAGGAGCCGTAGAAAGCAGTGAGAAGGATCAAGCAGCCAAGGCATGATGGGAGTCCCAGACACAAGAAATTCGAAAAAGCAAAAAAAGGTACAGAAAAATGCTGGAGAATAACAGTGCTCCAAAGCTCCCAAGATCTGACAACGACAATATTAAATACTGTGGTGGATTAAATGGAAATGTCCCTCTCAGGCTCCCTGAGACCTAGCACTCTGTCTCCAGTGGGTGGTGTCATTTTCAGAGATGGTAAAATTGCAATCATTGGGGTGGGGCTCCAGCCCCTTCTCTAAGTGGCCCCCACTTCCACCAGTTCATAATGCACCCGGAGTCGTGGAGCCAAGGACCATGGATTGGAAGGCTGAAGCCAGGAACCAAAGTAAATATTTCCTTTTACAGTTGACCACAGTGATGCAGTTCCAAAAAAAGCCCCCAAAGAATAAAAACAAAGTGGCAAACACCACACACCAACACCCCAGACATGAAAACAAAGACAGAGATCAGCAAGGAAGGAGTTCAACATCAAGAAGAAATTCAAAATCACCCGACCCAAGAATCCCACTGCCAGCAACGCTTGCTTTAAAAATTAGGGGAATATAAAGACATTGCTACATAGTGACAAAACCTCATCGCCAAATCTGAAAAGTGAACAATTTCAGATGCAAAAACAAACAAAACCCACTCCACCTATGAGCCCATTTATCCAAAACAGGCAAACCTGGTAACTTGGGTTACGGTGTCCTGAAGGCAGTGAGTGGTGTGCTGGGGGAGCTGCCACGGTGCTGGTCCCATGAATGCTTTTGGTTGTGATTTGGGCATACTGCATTCAGTGTTTACTCCAAGAGCTGATCGTAACAGCCCTCCCCTATTGGGATACCTCATTATTTTCTCTGTGTTTTCCTGGCATTCCCATCCGAGCAGAACCTCTGACCTCCAAGGTGTTGTCTTTGTTCTTTTGGGGGGCCCACCACCAAGCTCGCAAATAAATCACTCACGGAGGCTTATTCTTAATTACAAATGTCCGGCCTTAGCTTGATCCATTTCTAGCCAGCTTTTCTTAACTTAAATTATCCTGTATACCTTTTCCCTCTGGGCTTTTCCTTTTCTATTCCTGTATACCTTTCTTTGTTTCTTACTCCATGGCTTGCTGTGTAGCTGAGTGGCTGACCCCTGGAGTCCTCCTCCTTCTCTGGCTTCTACTCTTTTCTTTATCTCTCCTCTCCCCGATTTCCACTTCTGTTTACTCTCTTTTCCCAATGATCCCTGAGCCTTGGGAGGAGGAGATGTGATATGGATTTCCCATTTGGGGCTGAGCATTTGGCAGTTTTATTCTGTGTTGGCCCATTGTGGCTCTCTGCCTTGATCATCATTTTCTACAGGAAGCAGCTTCTCCGAAGAGGGCCGTGAGATGCAGTCATCCACGGGTGTAGTGGTAAGTCATTAGCAGCCAGTTTCATTCTGTCTATCTAGAAAAATGATGGTAGGTTCTTCCTTACAATTGCCTCTTTAAATCATGCTTTATTCAGAGCTGGCAACCAGAGGTTGCCATGGTACTAGCTAACAGGGGTTCTGTTCCCTATCAATTAACGAATTCAAAGACAGAAAAACGCATGGTGCAAAGTGAGAGTTTACTAGCAAGCATTACAGATGTGTCCAGTAGAGAAGCCCAACCCTCCAGAGCTGGGGAAGGCACCAACTCTGAGGGAGTTTGGGTTTTTATTTGAGTTTAGGGTGTCCCACCCAGTGATCCCCCTCTCTTTTTCCACTGGTCTCAAGGTGTCTCTGTGTCCCCTATGTAGCAAGGATTGCGCCTCTGTCTCTGTCCTGGAGCACAGAAGTCACTTGTTTCTCTGGGTAGGGGTGATACCCCCACCCTCCTCTGTCGAGAGCCCCACATTGGTGTGACAAATGTAGCTGAAGTTTTCCTGTGTCCCCCCCAGTCCACAGCTGCTCAGACCCAAATAAACACACAGAGGCTTATATTAATTATCAACTGTGTGGCCATTAGCTCAGACTTATTACTGACTAGCTCTTACACTTAAATTAAACCATAATTCTTATCTATGTTTAGCCACTGACTTGGTACCTTTTCTCAGTTCTGCCTTGTCATCTTGTGTGGTGTGTGTGTGTGTGTGTGTGTGTGTGTGTGTGTGTGTGTGTGTGTGTTATATGTGTGTGTGGTGTGGTGTGTGTGTGTGTGGTATATGTGTGTGTGGTGTGTGGTGTGTGTGTGTTATATGTGTATATGGTGTGTGTGTGTGTGTGTGTGTGTGTTATATGTGTATGTGGTATGTGTGTGGTATATGTGTGTGTGGTGTGGTGTGTGTGTGTGTGTGTGTGTGTGTGTGTGTGTGTGTGTGTGTGTGTAGTGTAGTATGCCTGCCTACTGTGGCAGCAATTTCACATGGGAGATGAGACATGAAACCAAGGCTGAGTCCTCTAACCAAGGGGAAATCTTGGGGGACTCCTGGCAAGATGTCTTCCTCTATGTAATGTGGAATGGAATGCCATGTCTGCTTTCTGAGTGGGTTCTACCATGTGGGTGCAGAGATGCCCTAAAAATCTATAAAGGTTCAGAGCAAATTCTGCAGTCCCCAAAAATAACACATAAGGGAAGAGAATACCAGCAAGCTACCACAGGGGTTGCCTGGTCACTGCTATGTGCACTAAGAGATGCATCAGAAGCCAAGACAGTGGCCCGGGGGAACTTGTGTGTGTGAGGGAAAAGGAGATTCGGTCAGCATCCTCCACATTAGCCTCTGGTCTGGAAAGGAAAGTGGAAAGGTGGATGTTAAAACGGAACTGTTGGCTTTCAGCTTACAGCTGGGAGGGGGGCTGAGAGGGGAAGGATGAAGTAGGTCTGTGCTGAGGAGCCTTTGCTGGGACCAAGCCTTGGGACCCACTGGAAGAGTTAGATAGTAAAGAGGGAGGAAAGGGGGATAAAGAGATGACAAAGGACAGAAGGACAAGACAAGCAGTGTTTGATGCCAGGCATCAGGCCACACAGACCTGTGTTTCCCCGAGAAAGAGCTCAGATCGCTGGGGACCTCAGGACTGGGGTGAAGCTTTAGTGGTTTTGCTGACCTGTGGTGGGACATGAGCTTTAGGAAATAAGAGAAGTTCTGGCAGGCCTGAATGATCCAAACCAGCATCTGAACTGAGTCCCTAAGGTGCTGAAGCACAGGGGAGATGAAGAACTAGAAAACAGACCATCGGACTATCCTAGCTACGCATAAGCAAATGTGGCAGAGCTGGAGTTCCTGGGGGAAAATTCCAGATAACCAAATTCTGGGCTTGGGAGGTCTTCAGAGGCTTTAGATTCTGACCAGAGGTTCACAAAAGGGTTGAAAGGAGTGAGAGACACAGTGGTTCTCACTGTACTCTGTGCTTTGGAGGAGAGAGATGCCCCGGGGGTGGAATCCACCCAGCTACTCTTCTGGTGGGGTGACCAAGGTTGTCTGCAAGGGTGGACATCCAGTCAGGCTGGAGGGCAGGGCATAGAGCAAAGAGGAGGAGGGAAGACAGGAAGGAGGACAGCCAGGCAGGGCATGGAACAGCCAGGTGGGGGACATTCTGGACAGGGAGGGAAGCATGGCATGGGGGAGCCACAGGTAGGGACACAACCAGGCAAAGGACTAGCCAAGTGGTGGAGGCAGCCAGGGAGGGGAAGAAAGCCAGGCAGGGGCCCATCCAGATGGGAGAATAGAACCAGGCAGGGGAAGCAGCCAGGTAGCCTGGCACAGCCATGCCCCATGTTAGCCTGGCTAAACAAAAGAGCTTGAGCAGACCCCAGAAAACTCACGGGAGTGGAGTGGGAGTGCCCTAGGATGAGAATGCTGTTCAACTGATATAAGAAATAAAATCTTTTCATAGCATACTAGACCTTGCTAACACACTTTTTTTTTTTAATTCTCTTAGCTGCTGAATTGCAAGACCAATTCCAGTTCACTTGGAATCATCAATAGTGGACCTTCCGTGTATTCCACCAGGTTACTTTCCTATTCCTCTTAGTCGTCATGACATGGCAATCCAGGACCTGCCTTGTTATCCTGCCCACCCTCTGTAAAAAGGTTTCATTACATAGATGACAGAATACTGACCTCCATTTTACAAATTTAGGGAAGCTTCTAAAAGGCGTAGAGGTGCACCTGAAGGAATGGGGATAAGAGGTGAGTCTACAAAGTGTGTGAAGGCCAGGCGCTGCTGCAAAGTTAGGGGTGTCACAGCCTGGTATGGTGCACATAATACTTGAAAAGTGTGTTGGAAAAAAACTCCCAACAGCCTGTACCTGTGAATGGAAAAGAAATGCAGCCTTTCTGAGGACTCCTGGGAGACTGGTGGACCTCCACACCCACCTCATCCAAGCTGCCCATCCTTCCTGCACAATTTGATAAAGAAGGGTGCCAAGCGGAATTGGGGCAGAAGTACTCCAGAGGCTTTGGAATAAGCTCAGACCCTTCTAAGCCAGGCTAATCAGCTGCGTGCCCCCATTAGCCCAACATCCCTTTCTATTAGAAGTCACTAGAAGCTAAGAAAGCTATCGCTGGGGGCTGTGGCAAAAACAACCCATGCTAACAGTTCCAATAGGGTCTGGCATCAGCTGTGGAAAAAGACAGAAGCTCCGTGTCCAGTGTGAAAACAGCAACTGCTGACTGTGGATAAAGCATTGTAACTGTGGCGTGCACAGGCCCCCCCTCAGCTTATCTGACTAAGAGTTGGGATGGAGGCCTTTTGGTGTAGCCCCTTCCTGAGGTGGCACAGAATCAACCCCTCCAAAGGTGGCATGCATATGTACAGAAATGGGGTGCAGGCTGCCCTAGGTCCCTGTCCTTTTAAGCTACTCAGCTCCCTCTAGTAACTGAACCAACAGCTAAGCCAGATCAAGTGTTAAAAGAAACACCACACATCCCTGTAAATGCCTGCTGCATACAGTAGGAACACCAAAGTGGAATAGGTAGCTGTAGAAATACAAATAAAAATAGATACATGTGGCTGGAGGAGGGAAAAGAAAATGCTGCCTGTAAGCTGAATAAAAGTAGTACAGATAATAGGGACTCGTGACACTTAGCCCATGACAACCTGTGACCTCTCTCCAGAGGTCTCTCTTTATGGGAGGAAAAGGAAGACCTGCAGGCACTAGGTTGGCCAGTATGGCAACAACAGATATGGAAGCAAATTTATAAGGGAGTTCATCAGGAATCAGAACCCCTGACAGCTTTCCATATGACAGCCCACAGTCCATTGAGTCTCCTGGATACTTTTTACTTTAATCAAAATACAGGCCATTTGCCCTCAGAGGCCACTAACTGGGTCATTCAAAGTCTGGTCACAGGGAAGCCAACACAGCATTCATGTAAAATAATTTGATGTCCCACATGCTGTTCATTTGTGCAAGGTCTATTTCTGATTGTGGCCTTGGTAGAATCCTACGTATGTCAACTTGCCTGTAAATGATTAATAAATAGACTATGCAGGACCTATACCTCTCAGTGATGGATGCAAGTCTGTCCTCTCCTGTGTGATCACTGTCACAAGTCTCATATAAGCACTTCAGTGCAAATGAACAACACCTGAAATCACCATCGAGTGCCTCATCAACTCAGTGTTATGTATGGGTGTTATGAAAAACTGACAGTTACAAGGGTAGTCATGTCACAAACAGTGATGAGTAGAACTGAGCTGAAGACAAGCTGCATTGATGTTTTCACCTGCTTTACAATGCACAGGTAGAAAAGGGCACCCAGAGGCCATAAGTTTGCTAAATGAAAATCACAGTGCCAGGAATGTGCTACCGAGGCCCTATAAACCACAAAGGCTATTGACACTGTTGTTAGTTGTTGTGAGATATTTGATTACACTGTGTAAAGATATGTCACTGTGACTGGTTTAATAAGAAACTAAACGTCCAATAGCTAGGCAGGAGGTATAGCAGGGACTTCTGGACAGAGAGAGCTGTGGGAAGAAGAAGGGCAGAGTCACCAGTCAGTTGGAGAGGAAACAGGAGGTGTAAGATGAAAGAGAGATAATGCCACATGATAGAATGTAGATTAATATAAATGGGTTAATTTAAGTTACAAGAGCTAGTTAGGAACAAGCCTAAGCTATAGGCTGAGCTTCCATAATTAATAATAAGTCTCCATGTCATTATTCATGAGCTGGTGGCCCAAAGAAAAGTCTAACAACAAATGTTGTCCAATGTGAGGGCTCAAATATCCAAACATAGGGCCTGAGAAAGCAAAAAAATGCTCTGGACAAAGAGCTTCATAGTCCTACAATCTTTCAGGCAGGCTGGTGCTGGAAGACATACAGGGGTGTGGCTACCAGCTGCTGCCTGCAGGCTAGAGCCATCCACCAGTGCCATGGACCAACACCATCCACTAAGCTGAGCTGTGCCTACAGCTGACATAGCAATTTAAGATTTGTCTCATATGATGCTTAGTAAAGACAGATCCAGACAGGAGAAAAAACTCTAAACAGGTTGCAGTGTATTTTAAAAATGTATGTAGACTTAGAAAAGAAAATGGGTATAAACAGTCATAGGAAAGAATAGTTTATAAATAATAAAATAAAGTCTTTAAAGAGAAAATAAAATAATATAAAAAGGATAAGCCACATAGAGATAGGAAAAACCCAGGGAGTCTGGATCCTGTATGGTGTTGTATTGACTTTAAATGTTTTGATTGCTGATGAGCAAACAATACCTGTTTTGAGAGACATTGGATTATAAAAACTACTAAATTAAACCAACCTATATATTTTAGAAATGTTTTAACTTCAAAATGGAAGTCAAAAAATATGTTATGTTGGGGAAGAGGTTATGTTTTTGTTTCTAAAGAAAACAAAAGGCTGTGGATTCATTCAAGGTTGATGGAGATCAGATTTGATCAGAAGAGACCTCCTGAAAATCCTGGCTACAGACATAAAGAAATAAACCTATAAAAACTACAAGACAAGTGATGTATATTTTACCTGTTTAAACATAAAACAAAAAATCATCTTTGGCTGGCTTGTGTACAATGCATAGTCCATGCTTGTGTTAACACAGATATGTATATTACTTTTAAAAGTTTGTGTGTGGGCTAGAGAGATGTCTTAGAGGTTAAGAGCACTGGCTGCTCTTCCAGAGGTCCTGAGTTCCCAGCAACAGCATGGTGGCTCACAACCATCTGTAATGAGATCTGGTGCCCTCTTCTGGTGTGCAGGCAGAACACTGTATATATAATAAATAAATATTATTTATTTTAAAGTTTGTGTGTTTTCAGAGCAAGGGAACCAGACACCAATGAAAATGGGTGGCCCTGGTGATCCAGCTTCTCAGAGTGTCTCTGTTGCAGTTTCCTCAGAGTTCTGCATCCAGAACAGCTTCAAGGCCCCTGGCTGAGATGGTCCAGCCTCACAGACTACTCAGGGCTTCAGATAAGCCTTGTACTTTCCTGTTACACAGAGACTGGACAACAAATGATACAGCTAGCTCTTCCGAGACTTGACCATTATCCTGTTGTGGAATATTAGTTAAAGATGTGTTACATTCATTTGTGCTGTGGATTATTTGTTTAATGATGCAAAGATGTGTTGCATTCTTTTATTTTGCATTTGTTTAACTCTGTGAAGCTGTGTTACTTTGACCACCTGAATCACCTGATTGTTCTAATAAAGCTCTAAACAGCCAATAGCTAGGAAGGAGGGAGAAATAGGCAAGGCTGGTGGGGAGAGAGAATTAATAGAGAGATAAGAGAAGATAACGGGAGAGAAAAGGAGGAGAAGAGGATGCCAGGGGTCAGCCACCCAGCCAAATCGTTAGACACAGAATAAGAAGGAAAGAAAAGATATACAAAAATAGAAAAAGGTAAAAGCCCAGAGGCAAAAGATAAACACAACCATTTAAGTTAAGAAAAGCTAGCTAGAAACAAGCCAAGCTAAGACTGGGCATTCATAAGTAAGAGTAAGTCTCCATGTGATTATTTGGGAGCTGGGTCATGGGTCTCCAAAGAGTAAGTAATAAAAAACAAAAAACTACATTATCCTGAGTTTCTCAGGGTCCCCTAAAAATTCCAGCACCCTGAGACAACAGGAAGCATTCTAGAGAACACATTCCCAAGAGAAGGGGTGGGTGGTTTTTGGTCATTCAGTGGGTCATCGTCTAGGGGGGTTGGTTACAAGTTGTTACTGGTCATGGTCAAGGAAAAAGTTAAACAAAGGAGATTAGGTTCAAGGTTCTCTTTCTAAAGGGACAAAGGGGGAATATAATATAAAAGTGATGAAATAAAAGAGTAGATTGTTGAATCTACTTTTGAACAACCACTAGTCTCAAATATTTTACATTGGTATAATAGAAATTTAAAGTTATTTTTATTATATTGTATTATATGGTTCTATTTCTTGTTTAAGGTATTGTACCTATGCAGCTCATTTAAAAAGGAAATGTAAAGTTTTAGTCCTTGAAAGTTATCTAAGATAATAAAGAAACACAGGTTAATAGTCATCTATAACAATCAAACTTATAGTCATGTTAGGTATGTTTTCGAGGTCAATCGGAGACATATTTTAAATAGATAGATGGTCTTCAAACACTTCAGAGACCTACAAAATATGGCAATTTAATATTTTAATAACATAGGCCTTTTCATGACAGTGAGATACGTTTGCTCCTAGCAGTACCAATCTATTTCATGGGCATCAAAGAATGTTCATAAGGAGTTTGATTTCTTTGTGACAAAACCTAGTCATTTGGGCAAGAAAATGCCCTTGCCTCAACTGCTGGCAGTATGCTGTCCAAATTGGACAAGCAGGACACAAAAGAAAGTGACTGCGGAACTTTGCCAAGACAAGGTAGGACAACCCTTCAAAAATTTCTGCTTCACAGGAAAATCTGTCAGTATTCTAGACCTGTAGGCTGAAGATGGATGCCCCAACATTGCAGAGGAAACTTGGGTCATTGTCCAGGCAGCCAGCTGTTTCTGTCATTTTTTATAGTTTTGAAAGTTGCTTTCTCTGCACTTCCTGTTTGCTCAAATAATATTTTATCCTTTGTGGGTCTCTGATGGGGATTGAAGACTAGCTAGTTATAGTTTTACAGTTTTCCTTGTTACCAAATTCAGAAAAGAAACTTAATAAAAGATATAAAGTTTATATAGTTGAAAAACATAAAAGCTTAAGTTGTTTATCTAAAAAAGTATTTTAAAGTCTAAGAAGATATTTTTAGGATGGTAGTACAAGTTATGACAAAAAATGGTTTAAGTATAAAACTTTATACTAAGATAGGGTAGATTATGGAGTATTTTCTCTAAATTTGCCAAATGCAAATGGTAGACATTATAAATGTAATTGTTACCTGATAATTGTCCTTATTGTATATAGTTTTACTATGTTAGAGTTAGAACACTTTCCTTTTTATTTAGACAAAAAGGGGGAAATGTTGCAAGATATTTGATTACACTATGTAAAGATATGTCACTATGATTGGTTTAATAAAAAGCTAAACAGCCAATAGACAGGAAGTATAGCAGGGACTTCTGGACAAAGAGTGCTCTGGGAAGAAGGAGGGCAGAGTCACCAGCCAGAAGGAGAACAAACAGGAGGTGTAAGATGAAAGAGAGGTAATGCTACATGATAAAATGTACATTAATATAAATGGGTTAATTTAAGTTACAAGAGCTAGTTAGGAACAAGCCTAAGCTATAGGCTGAGCTTTCATAATTAATAAGAAGTTTTCATGTCATTATTTGTGAGCATGTGGCGTAAAGAAAAGCCTGACTATAGTTAGTTGCATGCCATAACTAGAGGGTAAGACCATAGTGTTGAAGATACCACATGCTTTGGTTGCAAGACATGGAAAAATAGAGCTGGACTGAGCTTCCTCCCTACCAGCCGGATTTTACAGTGTTGGAAGGTGCTTTGTGGGCTGCTGGGGAAGAATTGACACTAAGGGTCCTGCTTAGCTATAGACTTTGTATGCTACAGTACCAAAATACCAGGCAGGTACATATAATGGTACAACTATCATGGGTACAGCCAACAGATTTCTGATTAGATTTGAAGATCACTTAACAGGAGGGCATTCATGTCCGGAACTATAAGTCAACACAAAAACCTATAGCTAGAGAGGTCTTAGGCCCCAGTAGGAAGGCTGCTACTGTTTTGTTACATGGGTGTGATGTGCCTATCAAACTGCCTTATAAACATTTATGCTTAAGCCCATAGGTCAATGGTGCTGTCAGCCACAATTGGACATGGAAGGAAGGTTCCTCTTACAGGGGATGGTGTACTACACTCCAGAGACTCATAAGCCACGCCCCCCCCAGAGAAGCTCCTGGGAACAAGTGATTGTTACTATGGTACAGAGGTCCAGTGTCATCTGTATCACCCTCTATAAAGCTCAGGGAACATCATGGAAGAGAGAACCAAAAGAATTTAAAACCAGTTTGTGCAGCAATTTCCTCAGAGTTGAAATAGTCCACCCTGCCAGGGGAGATCCTCATGTTTCAGGAAGTCCTAAACTGAAACATTCCTTGCATGGAAGAGCTTGGGGGAAGAAGACTCATGAACCCCACGAGCAAACAACTTAGGAGTCTCAAGAAGTTCCTGGAATGAACAAGACACACACACACACACACACACACACACACACACACACACACACATACACACACACCCCGAAAAAAAGTTATAGACCCAGTAAACAACTGCTAGGTAACCTGGAGTGACTACAGAACTAGAAAGTTAAAATGGGCCATTGTGTGGGGGAGGGGCAACAGAGGGGCAAAGCAGGGTACAAATGAATTGAAGAAGTGAGGAAAGTGGGCGGACTTTAATTAGGGAGGAGTAGAGGGATAAATACAGAAAAAGTAATTGAAGAGGGTAAAATAATAGCAAAGGTGTCTGAAAAGGCATAAAAAACCATACTATTAACTATCTACCTAAAAATAGCCTTGATACACATAAGACAGTGTATAAATATGCAGATATACTTGAAATAAAATTTTCCTGTCTGGGGTGACAATGTTTCCCAAAGCCATAGACCATCTAACAAAAACCCTAACACCAGTCATGGGAAGTCCTCTTCTAAGTTGTTATTCAGCATTGTTCAAGAGAATCCCAAAACATTACAGGCTATTAATGTTGCCCTTGTTTGCCCCCCATCCCAGAAGTGGAAGGTGAGTCCCTATTGCTGAAGATACCATGTATGGTGGTTTGAAAGAAAATGGCCCCATGGGGAGTGGCACTATTAGGAGGTGAGGCCTTGTTGGAGTAGGAGTGGCCTTATTGGAGGAAGTGTGTCACTATGGGGGTGAGCTCCTATCCTCAAGCTATGCTCAGTGTGACACGCAGCTTTTTTCTGCTGCCAGCAGATCAAGATGTAAGATTCTCAGCTCCTTCTCCAGAACCATGTCTGCCACATGCTGCCATGTCACCCAACATGATGATAATGGACTAAACCTCTGAACTGTAAGCTAGCTCCCATTAAATGTTTTCCTTTATAAGAGTCATCGTGGTCATGGTGTCTCTTCACAGCAATAGAAACCCTAACGAAGACACATGTACTTCAGATTTAGGTCCCAGATGCCCCCCCCCCAAGCTAGATCTGACCTGAAAGCCTCCTCCCTAAGGATTAGCTTTCATGGTGCCAGAAAGCACCATACAAGCTTCGAAAGGAGGAAGGCAACCAATTGTCCTACGTAGCTATGATGTCTATGAACCACAACAGTGACTAGCATGGCTCAGTAACCCCAAAGGTGCAGTAGTGGGAATGCATACCTTGGCAGTAACAAGCAGTTCCCTAACTGGGCTCATAACCCATTCAATAAGAGGGAAATCATGTCTGCTGCTAGAAACCCAGCCAATTACCCAGGGTTAGTGAAGTCATGGATCTTAGAGGAGAACCTACAACTGCCACTTTACTAAACCAACATAATTCCTAACTACATTCTAAATATTTGTCCTTATACCAACAGATAGATAAGTGTAGTCTTCACCTTCATCAAGGAAACTTCTCTTTACAATAGATGGAGACCATTACAGAAACCACCACAACCAGTCAAAGTGCAGAGTGGTAGGGCCCAGTCCCAAATGATACATCTACAAAACAACTCTTGTATCTAAGCCTCAGAGGTCATTGTGGAAGAGGGGACAGAAAGATTGTAAGAACTGGAGGAACAGGGAGTTTGCTATGAGCTTGTGTGGCAGGGCAAGACAGTGCAGAAGTTCCTCCAACTTGAGTTTTTGTGGAAGCCATTTCAGGTCTTACTAGAATTTTATCTCCTTGATGAAGAATCCCATGGAAAATTACCCAGCTCTACTCTAGGAACCAAAGGTCAGGATGTCCTAGTTAAGTTAGCTTCTGTTAAATTGCCTGTTTGTGCCGAACCCCCTCCAGCTAACTGCTTATCTTGACTTCTGTTAAACTGCTTGCTTCTACAAAGCTCCCCAGCAGCTACAGAGCAAGATGCCGGGATATGGTTTTGTTCTTTGAGGTTTTTTGAGGCTACACCTAGGTCCCCAAATATTTGGATGTAGCCCCAGATGGTTGGAATAAAGACTTTCAATTGGCTGTAAACTGTGTCTGAGTGGTCATCTCCCGTAATCTACTCATAACAATTGTGTCTCCTAGAAATGTCAGAATCTACACCCATGAGGTCACCCTAACATGGCTGTCCTAACATGAGCTAAACAAAGACAAGGACAACATCAGTAGGCATGCTAACATGGACAGGGGAACCCCTACACAAAGAACTACAGGTAACTAAGGAATGCAGAAAGCAGGAGACATCTTCCCCAAGGAAGAGCACAGCAATTGGTTATGCAATACCAAATGTTAGCCTGAAAACACACATACCCATAATGTTATATAGACTAAACTGGTATTTTTGTATTTAAGAATATATATACATACATATATGTATATAATATGTACACATAATACATAAATATCTATAACAGGAATGTACATTACATATATAATCATAACAATTAAAGAAAAAGAGACCATGAATTTGAAAGAGAGCAATCGGGGAGTATGTGGGAGGGTCTGGGGGAGGAAGGGGAAAGGGGAAATGAGTAACTACATTATCTCAGAAAAAATTTAAATCTTGAAAATAAAACAATTGCTGGGGAACAAAAGAGGAGCCAGAGCTGCTTGGAAGAGGCTCGCTGAACTAGCAGTCTGCCAGAAGCTGAGCAGAGAGCTCCTGGGTTGCCGTGTGTGTGAGCTGTCACTCAAGGTGAGCTTTCGGTGAAGCGGCAGCCTGGGAGTCATCTCCACTCCTATAAGTCATCCCTCACATAACTTGAACAGAGAGGCTGTCAAGGAGAACACGGCAGAATCCAGGGGAGACAGTAGTCAAGATGGGGGTGAACTCATGGGAAAGAGTGGGAGGTAGCTTACATCCTACCTCCACCCCTACCCCTGACCTAGGGGATGGTTGCTAAGTCAGCAGTGACCTCACAATCACTGTCCAGGCCTTCTATCCCCCAGGCCAACATCCATCTGCTTCCAACTCCGCCCTTTATCATTACATCCAGAGGACACATCCTACCTACCTCTAAGTCACCACACTAGCAGACCCAGGGATCACGACAAAAAGAGTACCAGTCTCTCCTGTGGGCACAGCTAAGATATCAGCATGTCACAAGACTTAGGAGACCTCAAGGATCTGATGCCCACTGAAAGGAAGTCTGTCTGGAGGACGGCTGAGGAGAGGCGGATGTCTGACCTCACCCGGGTGCTGGAGTGGCTGGAAAGGAGGCAGGGCAAGAAGAAGCGTGCCCTCCAGGTGTGTACGTTGGAAGAAATTGCTGGAAGACTTTATGCGAGATTATTAACAGGAGAGAGAATTGAAATTCAACACCCCCTAGCAAAGGGGGATCATTTTTTAAACACTGGGGTAAGCCAGTGGGTAAGTTCAGAGGTGAGACCACTCACCCTGGTTGGGCTGTCTGTGTCTCCTAATGGCAATTGTCATGGTTGGGCTTCTTCTCAACCATGACTTCAGGGTTCCAGTCTTTCCTGGTGGCCATATTTTAAGAGATGGCTTCAGGTCCTTGAGAAAGACGCTTCACTATAGAAAATGTAGGGTGTGGCTAACAGAGTTCTCTTTGAGAGGGGAAGAGAAAGAGATTGCTCAAATGCAAATGTTCTGAAGTAGACGCTCTAGAAGGCACTTGAGTCAGGGTCTGTGGTGAGGAAGAAGTCTGCCTAACACTAGGTCAATCTGTGGGCATTGCTAATACCTGTCAGTGTTAGAAATAGTCCTGAGCACTAGCTTATGGGGTCTCCACGTGGGCAAATTAGGGGCCTCCCCACTGTTCCAAGCCTCCACTTCCTCCCGATGACTCCAGCATAGATCATTCATTCCTACTGCCGTCCCCCCACTGAGACTCCTACCAGCATATACCTGAGTCCTCCCCCACATGAAGGGCTGCTCTCACCAGCCCATTCCTCTTTCATTGGGAGTCTTAGGTACCAAATTTGCCTTACCCCCCAGAGTTTAGGTCCCCTGGGTCCATCATTTGTGAAAATCAAGTTAGGCCTATGGAAAGTGGTACCCTCTTCAGAAGATACTGAGATCCCATATCTCCCAGCTGCAGAGGATGCTTCCTATGGCCTCTTGTCCCAGAGCAAATGGGTGAAGAGAGCATGACTAAGGATGGACTCATCTGTAGCCAATATTTACTGTCACCTCCTGCTCCTAGCCAGGTGCACAGCACGCACGCGCGCACACACACACACACACACACACACACACACACACACACACACACACACAGAGGTCATTCTGGAATGTTGACAAAGGTACCAGGGATAGATGCTAGGGGTAGTCCAGAGACCAAGAGACAGTGAAGAGACAAGAGACTTCAGAGTGTAGGTACTAAGAGGTCATTTGCCACTTGCCAGAACTGTTCTCCTATTTAGGGACAGCAGGTGGAACCCTCACAGGGTGGCTGCAGAGCCCTTTCTCCTGCTTTTTTAGAAAAAGATCGAAGAGGCGAACCGTGCAGAAGAGAAGGCAGGGAAGAAAGGCCCAGGGGCTAAGAAGAAGGACAAAGAGGGCCGCAAGGTGACCTTCAACAAGGTAATCACCCCTCCAGCTTCCCCCACAGCTGCTGCTCTGCTGTGGTGTCTAGCCACACGGTTTATGAAGGCCCCAAGATCCTCTCTGTCCTGTAATGACAGCTCAATAAATAAGTCTCCTGTATGCACCCCCCACCCCACCTCGTGCTGCTTGACCAACAATCCCTACTCTCCTGAGGTCCAGTTTCAGGACAAGTGTCTCACCTTCCTCCTCCCACGTCCCTCCACACTCAAGGATGCCAGGGCATAGAGAGCCATGGGAGCACTCAGCCCTGTAGCTAGAGGGTATCCCAGACCTGCCTGCAGGCATGGGCTGTATGTACCCCTAGGAGATAAGGCAAAATAAAAATGAAGTCTCAGTAAGTCAACACAGAGGGCACCACTGCCCCCTCAAACTCTTCCTGGGCCCAGGGCAAGTCCTTGAGCAAACTGGAAATTTCTCTGTTTGGGTTTGGAGGATGCTCAGCATAATTTCTCTCCTGACTCCAAGAATCAAGATCCAAATGCCATCAAGAAGCTCCCTGCCGGTTACCAGAGGGGGTATGTAACAGATGTAAAGGGCAAGCGTCTGAACATGATGTCCACCGCCTTCAGCAGGGATGGCCTTAAGAAGTCTGGTAAGAAGACAACCTGGGCCCTGGGGTACCAGAACTGATCCTCCCTGATCCAATTTCTCAGAGGCAGCAGAAGAGCTGCCCATCCATGTCAATTGAAACCTGTGTAAGTAAGAGTTAGGACCCCGCATGCAGGGTCCTTGGGGAATCACTCCCAGGGTGGCATTGGATAGGAGGGAGTGGTTGATGAGCTCCATTTATCCCCCAGTATTCTCAGGGATCCAGCACAGTGTGCTGCTCGGTCCTGAATTATTTTGGTGACACTGCCTCCATGAGTTCCAAATTTCCTAAGTTAAACACTATGACAATGTCTACTACAGAAGGTACCATCCTAGTGACCTGACATCTGCCAAGTAGTGTCCATCCCCAGAAAGAGAAAGGTCTGAGTTCCAGTTCACAGTCCTGCTCCACCACTCAGTTGTATCATGCGCGACATGCCCTCCGCTCCGGGTCTAGGTTTGTCACATATAAAATGGTATAGTGACCCTACTTTCTCTGTAGTGTGCCTGCAGTGATCCAGGGCCTGTAAATCAGCCTGACACAGAAGTGCTCAGAGGATTGGAAAACAGAAACACTAAGTTTGGGTGTGCTTGGTCTCTTGGGACACGAGCTTATGGCGAAAGTAGAATCCGGAAGGTATTCCTACATGCCTGTGTGGAAAGTGGGCAGGAGCTTGGCACACTTTTGTGTCTCAAAACAAACACTTTCCCCAACTTTTCATTTAGTACACCAAAGCCGTGGTCTGCAAACGGAAGCCTCTGGTCTGTCACAGTTTAGTATGACAGAGGACCTGTGGTGCTAAGAGCACCAGAGGACTCTGAGTTGAACCCACAGCATCACGTTAATGGGACATTCATCTAACCCAAAGAAGCCCTGCAAACTGTCAGTTGTAGATCCCTTGCTTTTAGTAAAGGCACTGTGGTTGTATTAGACGTGAGCATTCAAGAAAACCAAGTGAAGGGTATTAGAAGCCCTCTTCATTTTCTTTGAAGCTATTCTAATTGTTCTTACTATATAAAGTTACATAAATTCTTAATTATTCTAAAAATTGTATTAAAAAGTTACTGGAGAAATAAAATCAAGATGAGAAGCTCCGTACTTCAGTCGCAGTGTCTGTGACCCCCACTGCCACCGTTGCCACTATGGGGGCCCTGTTGGCTTCGTGAGCTTCCTTAGATCTTGCTTCCAGCAGAACCCCCTTTCCCTGCCTCCTGAAACTGAGACACACAGTAGTCTTGCTACTGTGATTTCTTCCCAGACTCCTCACGGGAAGCCTTTGTGTGTGAGCAGAGTTCACTGAAACTTTGGGGGTCAGCAGAGGCTAAGAATCACATCACAGAGGAAGAGTGCGCACAAATCAGGGGCTGGTCAGGAGACCCCACTTTCATTCTTCAGAGTCCTTTGTCTCCTGACCCCCCAAAGATTTTCTTAGCTGCACTTGCCAGTAAGGAAAGCTTCCTGGGGTTTTCTGAAAGTTCCAGGCAGAGTTTCGAGCGAGGCGACCAGAAGCACTGGTGTTCATCACTGATGGAGAGCAGAAGTCTGCTTAAGGAGCCTCTAGCGTAGTTCCAGTCCTCGAAGGCTCTTCCTCCCCTCTCTTTCCTCCACCCGTGCCTCCACCTCTGCACTCCCCAGCCCACTCAGTGCCACTGGCTTTTTGCTTACTCTGATCTTGGTTCCTTCTGTCTCATTCATAAAGTATGCTATGAAGACATTTTCCTAAAGAAAATTAGTCTCTTCCTTGGTTTCTTCTGTCTCATTCATAAAGTATGCGATGAAGACATTTTCCTAAACAAAATTAGTCCCTTCCCTAAAAAAACATCCTGACCATGGGTAATTTCACCTCGCTGTACAGGATGGAGACATGAAGGCTGACTGGCAGGCAGCGTGATCCCCTGTTGTCCTCTTATTCTCTTCCTCACCATCCGAGACAAATGTACCATATCTGAGAGTAGGGAAGTCTTGCTTCTGATGGATAACAGCCCATAGCCACTAGAGGGCAGTGAATGGGTCCAGGCAGCTAAGAAGCACCTGAACCTGTCCTCATTCGGCATCCAGGACTGGGCCAAGCTGAGCTTAGCCACAGTACAGACATCCTCCCATGTAGTCTTGCAAGCTGCCTCAGACAAGCAGGCAGGACCTGGACCAGGAAACACGACGGTGAGGAGGCAGCCAGATACACGCCCACCTCCCGTTACATCTTTGAACTATACAGGCTCAACAAGCTTCGTGTGCCTTCACCTTAGAGGAGGACAGTGTAATGGCCCAAGCAGAAAGCGCCTGGCTGGTGGCCTGCTCCTCCAGCCTTCACAGACTGGTCTTGTGGCTTCTCCCACCTTTATGCTTCATCTGTGTCTCCGCCACTATTGTCTTATTTGCGCTTGGTCCTCCACTGAACGGTCCTCTTGCAGCTGTGACTCCCATGGCTGCCACATTTCCCTTCCTAACTAATTTGTGTGTTTATGTTTAATGTGATTTTCTTCATAACATTGCCATAGAAAAGTAATAAACCTCAAATGAGGGACGACTTACCACAAAGAAATGAAGATCGGTGAACTGATTGAAAAACAATTCAGAACAATTTTTCCTAAAGCTTAATGAACTCTAGGGCAACGATCATCAAAGAAGCTTCCTCCTTCAGTGGATGGGAGCGAATACAAACACCCACAAGTGAATAATGCACAGAGAGCGCCTTAGAACACTCAGTTCTCAATGGGATGTCTCCACCAAATCCCTGCCCTGGGGGCTCAAGGAGCTATGTGCAAGAGGAGACAGAAGAGTGTGAGAGCCAGTGAGGATGGAGGACACCAAGGAAACAAGACCTTCTAAACACAGTAGGACCAACACAGATGTGAACTCACAGAGACGGAGGCAGCATGTGCAAGGCCCTGCACAGCTCCAAGCCAGATGGGGTCCCGGCACTGAGGGGGAAGGTGGACACAAGCGTCCATCCCTAAGCAAGAAGCTATCTCCAACTGACAGTCACCGACAAAGGAAAAGTAAGTTTTCTCCAATGAAGTCTCACTGGGTATATAAACCACACTTAAGTGCAGGCCCCAGAGATAGATGGCCAACACAAAATGAACTCAATGGTACTGTTGAAGGTTTTTGTCTCATATTTATTGCTTTGTCTGGGAATTTTTTACCTTACTGGTCTTCTGCTTGTATATTATGATTTTTAATTTTGTGTTTTTACGGGTTCTATTTGGGCGGTGGTGGTGGTGGTGGTGGTGGTGGTGTGTGTGTGTCTGTGTGTGTCTGTGTGAGTGTGTGTCTGTGTGTGAGTGTATGTGTGAGCGTGTGTGTGTCCCATGCTTTTTCTTTGTTTATTTTTTAAATTGGTGTTGTTTGTTTCTTTTGTCTTTTTTGATTTCTATAAAGAGAAAGAAAAGGAAAGAAGGAAGGAAGGAGGAAGGAAGGAAGGAAGGAAGGAAGGAAGGAAGGAAGGAAGGAAGGAAGGAAGGGAAGAATCTGGGATGTATCTGAGATGAGGGAGAAGAAACTGATCAGAATACACTGTATAAAAAAATCTTCAATTAAAACAAACAGGACACTAAGGAACAAAAGAGGCAACAAAATGAAATGAGAGAAAGCATATTTGAATGAAATGAGAGAAAGCATATTTGAATGAAATGAGAGAAAGCATATTTGAATGAAATGAGAGAAAGCATATTTGAATGAAATGAGAAGTGCGGCAAAGAAACAGAACCACTTTAAAAGACAAAAACCAGAAATCTGAGGGACTGAGGAACACACAGTGTCCTGCAATGGAGTGTTTTAACTGCACACAGAGAACATACAGATTCCTCAATCCAGAGACACTTTTGAAATTATCTAGTGAGAGAGACAAATAGAAATTTCAAGAAAATCAAATAATACATGCAGCGTGGCTGTCTGAGAAAAAGACAAAAGACCAGGGAAGGTCATCTAAGAAATAAATAAGGAAGCATGGTGATGAACACCTCTAATCCCAGCACTCAGAAGACAGAGGCAGGAGGATCTCTGTGAGTCGAAGGCCAGCCTGGTCTACATAGCGAATTTCAGGCCAGCCAAGGCTACAGAAAGACACCTTGTCTCCAAACAAACAAGAAAAAAAGAATAAAAACTTCCAAAATTCAGGGAGAGAAAAATCTTCGATTCATGAGACCCCAAAACATCTACACCAAGACAAGACACATTAAATCCCAAGTCTATGCAAAGAGTTTGAAAGCAACAGAAAAGTAACTTTTCATACACAGGGAGCTTCCATAAGACTATGAATTTCTAAATGGAAATGCTGTAGAGCAGGACATATGTAGAGGATGTATTCAAAATATTGAAAAAAGAGACATCTGACATCCGAAAGTACTATACCCATGAAAGCTGTGCTTTAGAAATGGAAGAGACGCCGGGTGGTGGTGATGGCACATGCCTTTAATCCCAGCACTCAGGAGGCAAAGGCAGGTGGATCTCTGAGTTTGAGGCCAGCCTGATCTACAGAGAGAGTTCCAGGACAGCCAAGGTTACACAGAGAAGCCCTGTCTCAAAGAAAAAAAGTAAGAAAAGAAGGAAGGGAGGAAGGGAGGAAGGGAGGAAGGGAGGAAGGGAGGAAGGGAGGAAGGAAGGAAAAAAGAAAGAGAAAAAAGAGAAATGGAAGAGACAACCAGACATGGTAGTACATGCCTGTAATCCCAGCACTCAGGGCCGGAACTCTGAGAGTCATAAGCTAAGGCCAAACTGGGCTACGTGAGACCCTATCTCAGGAAAAAGAGGATGAGGGCAGTAGGTATTTCCTGAAATGGGCAAAATTTGAGAGAGTTCATTCATATTACAACCAGGGTTGTTTCTCAACAGAAATAAGATGCTATGTATTAACAACATACTTAATAATGAATGTAAAAATCTCCCGACTAACAGTAACTATATAGTCAAACTCAGAATTCTGTAGTGTTGTAGTGGTTGTTTGTAAATCATGTCCAAGGCTGGAATGAAAGTTCAAAGGTAAACATCTTTTTTAGATTTAA